CACGCCGAATTATGCCTCCATTCCGCCTCGAGGCTCTCAATAGAAGATGTGAGTTGGGCAAAGCTTTCGTAGGGATTAATTAAATATCTGTGACTAAGCAATACTGTCAAATGCTTTGCTTTAATTGTGTCCATAAGTAGATATAAGTTCTTATTTGAAAGAGGTCTGCTGATCGTCTGACTTTTGAGGACACAATTGCTTTGATCGTACGGTGAAGGAATCTAGACAGCGCACAGATAAAAATTTTGCGGAACTTTGCTTTTGAATTAAAAGTTAGTTGCACTGATTTCGCCAAAAATGATCCGAACCACAAATACCACTTTGACACAAAATGACAAAACTTGTTGGCCACATGATGCCAGGAAGTTGTGTAGGCGGCTCCACTTATTAAGCTTTCACTAAACGCATTCTCCTACCCGTTTAAACAAAAATGTTAACAGAAAAACTGTCATGCTTTACGAATGTATAATGCTTGAGCTGAGCCATAACAAGTATTTTTATTAATTTGAATGCATTAAGCTGTGTACTACTAAATTTTACCTCCGTGGGGAGGTTTTAGAAACATTTCAAGCGTTACCACTGAAGAGCAATGAATAGGCCTCCAATCTTGCAACTGTTTAATAGAGTAGAGAAAAACGAGCAAGGTTAATACCAGTACGGATCGGGAGCTGTTTTGTAGCACAAAAGTACAGAGTGGAGAGACGAAAGTGCTCCTCTAATTTAGCGCACGGTTAAGCGCCTTTGCCGCTCCTCTCCCTCATCCCCTTCCATCGAGCTACAGAGGGCGGTCGGAAATTTAGGAGATTCCGCAAGCCAAAAGCAGTAGTTTTTTTACTGCTCCTTTACTTAGAAAAATATTTAGTCCGTTTGTGTTATAACTGTCAGGTGAATTGGCAGAGAATGGAAGCAGTTGATCTTGTACTACCCAAGATTTTGTGATGCTGCACAACGCAATCTCTTCATTTTGCTAGTCAATGGCTCTAGGCACAACTGACTAAACCCAGTGTCAAATAACTTAAGGGGCTACCATTTCGCGCTAAATTTTGCTGTTTTTTTGCTCTCACTTTAATGCTGCTTGGTGATCTATGCGATCACGTGGATTCAATTTAGCTAGCAGAGTTGGGAATATGGACTAGCTCTTTACACAATCACTAACTTAGTGTGGTCTGCACGGTTTCGTAATGATCCTTCCTGGATAAGTCAAGTCACTTCTTTGATTAACTGTTAACAGGAAACTTAAAAGTCATGAAATTGGAGGAATTGTCAAGAATAGACGTCATTTTGCACTTAACGGTTTGGAGCTGCCACAGATGTTGCCTTTCCGCGACAAACGGTTCATTATTCATCCATAAAGAACGGGTTTGTTGTACTGTTGCAATGAGTTCCCCTGCCATGGCCAAAAGAAAAGCCACCTTACTCTAATGCAAGAAATGCAAGAAAGACCAGTGTCGTGGTAGTCTCCACGCATAGAATGCAGTTAAACCTGCAAAAGGAGGGGAAGAGCAGGCGAATTTCTCAAACATGTTCACTTTTCCAGACTAATAATTGCCAATCATACTCGAAATCCGCACCAATGGTACATTCTTTCACGTTAACCTGGCCCTAAGCCGAGCTCCACTTCTTTTGAATCGTGGAATGCGATTATCAGCTTATTCTCGATGTCCCGCTGGGCTATTAACGGTATTGTGCGTGTTGCGTCTGATGAGACAACCGAAAGCCTTGTAGCCCTCAGGCAGCGGGAGAAAGTACGAAGTGAAGTTTCGCGTAAATCAACTCTCACTGTTTGGTTTCAAAAATTAATCATTCGCAAATATAGCGAACCGTTGATTTGCGTATTTGGCAGAAAGTCAACAAGCCTAACTAGAAGTAAATATTGTCAACCGCAAGGATGACAAAGACCATTTCAACATGAAGTTTTGCGCCATCATGAGCGTATTTTGAGTACGAAGATTTAGTGAGCATTTGAACTAGTCAGGGGCCCAGCTAAAGTCCGTCATTTCCTGGTTTACTTTTAGTTAGGCCGAACATTGAGACGTTGTCTAAAAGTTTAAGTGATCCCGTTCTCGTGATTGAACTGAAGGCGAAAGTCCTCAGATGGTCGTATCAACGACCCAGTTTTAATTTTCAAAAGCTTTAATGGTGGCTACCATCATCATCGTGCTATACGAATTCGGTACTGCCGTAACTGCAGACATCACACCATTTTTGTAAGACAAATGGCATGCCATGGCAGTTTAATTACTGCAATCTGCTCAGAGCAACTAAACGTAAAGTATTGGTATTTTGGTCTTTTTAACTACTTCATCAACTCTTAATGGATTGTCTTTATGCATTAAAGATTTGATCCAGAAGGTGTCACTCACCTGAGCAAATTTAATTTTCTGATCCATTTAGGGTTTACTAATCTGCTTGAAGAAAGGCGAGTAAGTAGAAGAGATTTTAAATAGTTAATTCGTTTTCTACAATTTTCAAAGCATTCGTAATTCCCTATCGAGAAGTAATGAAGTCATCGCATGCTGAATCATGATACAAATGGCAGGAACTTCTACCTACCGACTCGTCAAACACACGGTCAAGTAGCAAAATTACCTATTTACACAGCAACACCTACACATACTATAAAAGCCCGAGATAACGAATACCTTAACAGCAGAGAAGAAGCAGGCATGGCTTACTCGAATGTGTCTTGCCTCACTTTCGTGTGCTTTCTGTTAAGCGTGTATAGTCTCGCGGTGAGCAGGAGCGTCCATAGCTGTAGAAATTGCTGTCCATGCTGTTGCCGCTGCTTGGATCCTCCAAGTCGACCGGATATCGTATTTGTGCCCTTGGAGGTGCCTGACCAACGTCCGCTGAAGCTCGCTGCTCCTCGCATAACTCTACCCCCACCGCCTCCACCCCCGCCCCCCACACCTCCTCCACCACGTCTAACTTTACCTCCAGTTCCTCCATCATCTCAACTTCTAAGGCTTCGTCCCTCTCAAATTTCGCCTCCATCTCAATCCGTAAGTATGAGACCACCCTTAATTCCACCCGTCTCTCAGAACCTGCACATTCAGCCAGTTTTTGCTGCTCCTGCCATTCAACCTGTAATCCTGCGTCCACAACTGTCTCTACCTATCCCTCAACACCTGCCTCCACCGCCACCGCCACCGCCACCACCACCACCACCGCCACCGCCACCTCCACCTCCTCCTCCTCCACCACCACCACCACCACGTCTACCATCTATGCATCGCTCTCTACATTTGCCAATCATTTGCTTCCAACTAACACCACTGGTGCACAGTTATGAAGAGTGTCTCCTTAAGTGCAAATTTAAGCCAACTTGCAAAATGTGCTGTCGGAGTATATTCGGATTCTAATGAGTTCATACCACCGGCACTTAGGCTCCTCTAACTGCTAGAGCCGGTATCGACTCCTTTTTCCTAAAAAGGAAAATATTTGACCTCTCTCTAATAGTGCTCTTATCAATTGGTAATTAACTATTTAGTCTTCTGCTTATCTCCCTATTTAAAAGGGTTTAATAAAATTTTCAATGGTTCGGAGGTAAGCTTGTGGAATTATTACTGGAGTGGAGGCACTGTGGAAGAAACGGAACACTTTTCATTCAAGCGCTGATGCTTAGCTTCAGTAAGAGGTTGGTATTTTAATGCAACAAATGTCTGCATGAAATAAGAAGAAGGCACCATTTTTGCTATGCCACTGTGCGGAGACAATGAAGGCCATGACGACTATCAGCAATCGCAAAACACGCCGGCAAGCTAAGTCCATGATTGAAGAAAATTGATGAATGACAAGCCATTTGTCCATAAACATGAGTTAATTTCTGGAGTGGGTTCATGACACGAAACACAACTAATACATAGTTTTGCTCGACTTTCAAAGTCAGTTAAGTGAAAACAGAAATCGAATCCGAAACACGCTTTTAAAAACAGTAAGTTCCTGCACTCAAATAAATAAACGAACCCTTCGATAGGCTCCTATCAACTCATCCGAAGAGGTTGTTCAAAAGATTCCAAGCCTAGCTCTTCCTCAAACGAGGTCTATGCTGGACTTTAGTGAGATATTTTTTTTAACGACTTCCAACTTCACTATTTTTCTTGCTATGATTAGTCTGCAACCGAAGCTAATACGTCTCTTCGTTGATGCTGATGCTATCAACTGCGTTGTGCAATAGGCTTGTTAAGATTCAGCGAGATTAATGCGAGAGGTGCTATTTGCTAAAAGTGGAGGGCTTTGTTTACGACTACAGGATTAGTAAGACTCTCACGGCGTGAGACGGACGCCAACAGCAAAGTGGGTTTTCTCAGTCTGACTTACTTACTTACTTAAGGTCGCAAGTAATCGCTCCCATGGGCCTGAATTAGTTCACAAAATAATATTATGATAAATAAAGGACTGAGGTGTAGCATTCTGAGACTTCCTATTTAATTGTAGCCTGTATGCTACTTGATAAATTCATTCTGGCAGAATAAAAGCCAATGAGGCCTTTGGCCGAAAAAAATTTGGCTTTAAACGAGCAGTTGTGCAGAGCAAGTCGAATCAACTGCATTAAAATTTACAACAATGATAAAAGTAGGGAAACGGTAGTTCTAAAATGCTGCAATCCATGGGGCCTATGCGAATGACTTTGAGAGTCGCATCCATAGTTTGCATATTTGCTTTTTGCTGAACTAAATTACAAACTTACTCACTTAAAAGAATTAAGCTTACAATTTTTAATAAGCAAGGATGGTCAAAGAAACCACTCAAAATGCCTCATTCTCTCTGCAAAACACTGCCACTTCCACTGGTTGCAAATCACAGTCAAACGCCGTGCTAAAGTCGCATCGTGGACAACATGAGGGAACATATAAAGCGGGTGTAAGTTCTCGAAGGACTTCTCCTAATCGTAAAGGTGCTTTTAATAGATTAGCTGACACTTGTGAGACGACTGAATCAAAGGGACGGACATAATTGCCCTCATAATTACCACCTTGACGAGGCAATCCCTAGACGTCTAATTGGCTTCCTAATTTAAGCAGAGTCAACTTGCGAACTCTGCTGCGGAAACCCGGATCTATTTTTACTGAACAAAAGCTGAGTGAGGAGGAGAAAAATACCTCGTAGTCAGAAGATTTAGCACTAAAAGGAAAGATCGGAACTGGAGGTAGAGGCAATGACATTCAGGGTTGAGCGCATTGGATGAATCTGGGAAAAAAAGTTGTGAAAATCGTCATATGTTGAATGAACACCTCAAAAACTATTTTGGTGGTTATAATGTTACCCTCCCAATTGTGGGTGGAAGAAATAAGCAGACTTTGGTCTATTACCTCGACAACACAACAGTTGATAATTGTGTGTGCCTAATTTTATTATTCATGGTGGTAAATAGAACTTACTGAGAGGTGCAGTGGATGGCTAAAGGAAGGGAAAGAGTGGAGACATGTAAGAAAATTGGAAAGCTTAGCAATAGGAATTGACTTACTTTGGCTAATAACTTGAATTTTAAAATACAAGAAAGCAGAGGCTTGGACCAGCCTTCCTAAGCCCCCGAAAACGGTACCAATCAAGTGAGTGTAGCTATTGTGTCAGAAATAGCAGCTGAAACCACAAACACAAATAATTTTGTAAGAGTTGACGATCCATCTCTCAATCCAGGGAAACGGCCATTGGGCAAACTGTGGTAGCCCCTCTTTATGCGTATAAAAAGGTGACAAAGTCAATCACATCGAATAACAGCCCAGTGAAGGGCCTCACCATATTTGATAGAGTTTGGAATAAAAGTAAACAGAAATAAAAAGTCTTCTTCCATCGTATTGACTAAAGCTTCTTAATGCCCACAGATTGCGGTTGAATGCACCAGCTTCTACCACATTAACTGTAAAGCTGTCCAGGATTCGTCAAGAGCAATGCAGATGCAACTTTATGTCAAATTCTGCGTGTTGGGCAGTTCAATGCTCGAGTCACAAGGAGGGACAAGCATAATTTTCCCACGGATTGCAAAAAATTATCCTCAAGTTCGCAATAAACGTAAAATCAACTTTGGTGACGTCATCCCATCACCATACCATTTAAAAAGGTTTTCATTTTCACAAACCCCTTCATTCGCCTACATTTGAAGTAAATCAGTAAAATCGAAGTGATCATCCCCAAATCCTTCCCGGTGAAGTGTGGAGGAAAAAGACACCAATTGTGGAGCCTTATAAGCGTTTTCTAATGTCCTCAGTCATTCCTCTGTAAAAGCATTCCAAATACTGACACACTTGCTGCGAACATGCAACTCCTTGCAGGCATAAAGAGAGACTCCATTAATTTTAAGCCAGCGGACAGTAATTACGACCAGGCACTGATTTGTCTCCTCCTAGTTAATGATTTAGCATGTACATCCTTCCTTACGGACCACATTAATTAGTGGTAGGCTGCCAAATGCAATGGGAACACTGCATTCCATGGACTCATCCGTGCATAAAAGTAATGCTCGAGCTAAGGAGCAAATGAAAAAGCTTTTTATAAGTTGGCCATTAGGCACCAAAGGCTTTTGCAATTTAGTAGCTTTTTACACCTACTAAGCTTTATTCCAAAAGTCGCTGGTCTGGGTGCTTCTGTAAAGATAAATAACTGTGTGTGGGACACATAAGTTTCCCCCTAAAGGTCAAACCCATAAAAGTTCTTTGTTATGTAGAACAATTTCTTTCTCCGTGTAATCTTATACACGACGTCTTTAAATGAAACGAACACTTTTTGATGACATGAGACCAATTAACTCTTGTCTGAACTATTATGCGCCAAACAAAAATTTATATTAATTATTCAGGGGTTATTTTTAGAGGTGATAAGCAAAAGTGCCAACGAAAAGCACTGAAAGTTGATTACCACTGAGACTTTGGCAACTTGCGATTTGGGAAAGGCATATAAGCACCAATGCAGTTATGATTCGAAACGGTGGTTTGAACTAATCCGCATGCATACACATTGAAGGTTGATTGTAAAATACCAAGAAACACTTTTAATTAGTGAACCACACGCACCTCTTTGCAAACAATCAAACTTCCGGAGATGGGCACTATGGCAAAGAAAAGTGCAAAAATTGTGAAAAAATTCAAAATACGGGATCAGTTACTGTGATGTCTCAGACGCCCCATCAGGTAGAGGAGGGTATCAGGCAGGACTTAATACCTTCTGTCTGGAGTGGAGATGGAGAGGATGGGCTTTGCCTTAGCTCGAAGGTCAGCCAAAGCGGTCACGAAGCGGCAGCCGTTCATACGTCTCAGTACTTAAAACAGGACATTTTAAAGGCATTACATGAGTGCATAAGTGCTAACACTCAATCGTAGACTAAACAAGACTTAAAGTGGACCTTAAAATGCAAATCTAACTCCATCAACCTAACAAACAACATGACTTTCGGGCTGTTTACTGTCTGCATGGCTGTGTGCACGGCCTTTTACAAGAGGAATTGCTTGGCCTGATTTAGGCGCCCATATAATCTTCTACATGGGCAGTCGAGCAGTAACCGACTAGGCATACTGTACTGCGTAGAGGGCGTGTTTGCATCACGTTATCCCCTTTATGGGTGTGCAGCCTACCAATTACCGAGACCTACTTTTATTCTCCTTACCACAGAAGGCCGAGGAGCTCCTCATCGGTGACATCGTTGCTCCACTCGTTATGCTAATTGCGGCAATGAAAGGATGTTTGCACCATCTAGAATAAAAATCACAAAATGTAAGGCGGCCACTGGAAAAGTCATCAAACATTCTATTTCCATCCTGGGGATGGAGAGTACCTTAGCCGCTGGGCGTGGTCATTCGGTCCTCCTACAGTCTTTTAGACTGCATTTACATCCCATTAAGTAAAATGTTACTCTTTTGTGAGTTAGCGGATTCCTTAACAAATGAGTGGTTTGCAAATAGCATTCCCTTAACATTCCCCATAAATTTGGTGTTTACATTTTGTTAACTTACCATTTCTTGGAGGAAATGTCCAAATGCAAAACGGCAGCAAATAGGAGCAGTGGTATGTCACTTGTCCCCCTACACTCGGACATTCCAGTCGCATTGTGCGATCTATTTTTGGATTTAAGTCCCAGTTGATGCGTGGGCAGCTGGGTAGGGCGGTGCTTTTTTGGACGGAATAAATATCAACGAAATTTAAGCTCCAAAATAGCAACTTTATTCTGCGTCTATTAAAAGGCCTATTTTAAGGCATGTTTGTAGCGCGTAATGGACTCTCCCTTGCACAACTTCTTGTATCAAAATATAAAGAGCACATAAAAATGTGATTCTAGGTTGTTTCGGCCCATTGAGCCATTTATGAAGCCTTTTAAAAATTCCCCAACACGCTTCCAGGGGGATGAAAGAAGTTTTGATGTTGGGGCGGAATAAGTGCTTAGTGAAGGGGACCAGAAAAAAACGGCAAAGAGGATTTACCGCACAAGTAATGGTAGCCGAATGTGGCAGTCAGACAAAAACAAAAGTGTTACAATTTACTCCGTGCATGAAGAAGGGCTAGGGAAAGCTTAAGGGTTATGCGTTCGCCCTAGAAAGATTTAAGCGATATTTATAAGTAACAACTTTCTATCCACCTAGTGCTAAGCAGTTTGTAGCAGCGCAAACAGAATGAGACTTGTAAGTAACTTATTCGAATGGGGTATATGTGGCATGCAACAGATGGCAGGTAGAGATTCATACCTTTAGAGAAGTCCCAATTAATAGAGGACTTATTGTTATTGGAGCCTGGCAACTATCAAAATCTGATGTGTTAGCGCCCCTTGAATTCAAATGGTATTGAATGGAGTGCAGCGAGTAAAAGGAGAGCATTGAGGGATCTCCTTGACAACGTACAGACAACCAGAAAGAATGCGTATTCCCTAGGAGCGACCTTGGGCACAACAACTCACAGACGGTGCTACTTCGCAAATGGACAAGCGACCTCCAAAGCGGAAGCCTTTGGATGTGTAGGCGCCCACGTATCTGGCCCGCATTCTGGCTCGTGGCTAGTAGTACTTTGTGCCAAACTGGGGCTGAGAGCATAGAATTAATCTTGTGCAAAGGCTTACATGAGAAAATACCAGTCCCTTCCTTTTTAAATGAAAAGTACTATTAATTTGAAGATTTGGTTAATAAGGTTTCTAAAATTTTATACCACTAATATGATTACGATTTTATCATGTCGCTTCCCATTGCCTCTCGGGGT